TGATCAGATGCAGAGGCCTATACTTTGTGCTAATCTGTGATAACACTGCACCAAAACCCAACTGAAATTCATGAAGATGGTGAAAATGAAGTCATCATTTCTGGAAATATGACTGTCAAAGTAAGGCTGCCAAAGGAACTCTCAGATGCCAAATATAAAACCTTGCCCACCTTAGGAAAAAAAAATCGTGGAAATTAATATCAATTTTTGTGTAAAATCTGAACATCACATATAATAACATATATGAATCACAAAAACATTACACTGGAAGAAAAACTGTTTTATACAAAACATAACAAAACAGAATTTGAAATAATTCTTGAAAAAGAATATACAAAATATACTAGAGAAATATCAGAGTAGTGGTTGACTTTAAAGAGTGGGTAGGGATCTATTGGAATGAACTTGAGGGAATCTTCTGGGAAAGAGTAATATTTTTCATCTTTTTAGAAAATAATTGTATCTATTTATTTGGTTTTTTTGGCTACACTGAGTCTTTGTTGCTATGAGCAGACTTTCTCTAGTTGCAGCAAGCAGGGGCTACTTTCTAGTTGTGGTGCAAGGCTTCTCATTGCGGTGGCTTCTCTTGTTGTGGAGCACAGGCTCTAGGGCAAGCGGGCTCAGTAGTTGTGGTACATGAGCTTAGTTGCTCTATGGCATGTGGAATCTTCCCCGACCAGCGATCAAACCTGCGTCGCCTACATTGGTAGGATTCTTAACCCCTGAACCACCAGTGAAGACCAATACTCTTCATCTTGATCACAGTTTGCAGCAGACTGTATGATAAACTCACTGAATAGTAATACTAAAATCTGTGTATTTATTGTATGCAAATTGTACTTCAAAAGAACAAGAGAATTGTAAACAAATATTGAACTCTAGTTAGTGACTTACATGCTATAGTACTCAGGAGGGAAGTGTACTGATATCTGGAAATTATTTTGAAATGTATAAAAAATAAGCTGTATCAAGGGTGGATAAAAGCATAAAAGACAGATATGTAATGGAGAAAATATACTCAAATGTTAATGGTACAATCTGGGTGACAAACATACCTATGCTTGCTATAAAATTCTATCACCAGTTCTGTTTTTAAGTTTTCACATTATAACGATGATATGAATGGCAGTGCTTAACTTTATTCTGTGGTTCAACAGCTTTTCAGGTTCTTCTTCAAAGGATAATGCTGATGTATACTTCAGGGATATTTGGGGGAAATGTCTATAAGTTATGTATGATATTTGCCTGTTTATACTAATAATTCAGTTATATTATTCACTGTCTTCTAAACAAGGTGAGTTGTAACATGGCATGTCAATGCTTCAGATGTTGCCCTTCAACAGTAGGTAATAAAACCATGTATTGTAGCACATGGGCTGTGTTGTTGTAAGCAATTATATAACTTTAAGGGAATCAAGTTGAAAACATAGGCAGAACACACTCTGACATAAATCACAGCAAGATATTTTTGATCTACCTCCTAGAATAATAAAAATAAAAGCAAAAATAAACAAATGGGACCTAATTAAACTTAAAAGCTTTTACAAAGCAAAGAAGCCAAAAAGAAGATGAAAGGCAATCCACAGAATGGGTGAAAATATTTGCAATGAAGTGACCCACAAGGGATTTGTCTCCAAAATATACAAACAACTCATGCAGCTCGATATCAAAAGAACAAACAACCTAATCAAAAAAATCAGTGGAAGATTTAAACAGATCTTTCTCCAAAGAAGACTTCCAAATAGCCAAAAACACATGAAAAGATGCTTAACATGATTAATTATCACTGTTATTCAGCCATTCAATTGTGTCCAACTCTTTTCAAACCCATGGACTGTAGTGCATCAGGCTTCTCTGTCCTTCACTATCTCCTGGAGTTTGCTCAAACTTATGTCCATTGAGGGGATGATGCCATCCAACCATCTCATCCTCTGTAGCCCCCACTCCTCCTGCCCTCAATCTTTCCCAGCACTAATTATTAGAGAAATGCAAATCAAAACACCAATGAGACATTACTTCACACCAATCAGAATAACCATCACTAAAAATTTTACAAACAATAAATCCTGGAGAGGGTGTGGAGAAAAGGGAACCCTCCTATACTGTTGGTGGGAAGGTAAATTGGTACAGCCACTACAGAGAATACTCTGGAGGTTCCTTTAAAAACTAAATATAGAACTACCATCTGCTCCTACAACCTCACTCCTTGCCATATATCAGAGAAAACCATAATTCAAAAAGGAAACTCTTTTTAAAAAATCTTCATGAAACTACATACCAGAGTAAGAAACTAAACTGTGAAAAGCTGCTCTGATCTGCTTTTTGGCTTAGAATGACCATCTAGGAAGGGAAATATTTAAAGAATAAAAGCATAGTAAAGTAAGTATGGAGAAGTGGAAGAAACCGACAAAAGGAGTTTTGACTTATTGAGGTATGCGGAAGTCATTGTGGCTTATGCATAAGTTAACTTGAATTTTATACTAAAGTGAAAGTGTTAGTTGTTCAGACATGTCTGACTCTTTGTGACCCCATGAACTGCAGCCTTCCAGGCTCCTCTGTCCATGGAATTATCCAAGCATGAATACTGAAATGGGTTGCCATTCTCTCATCCAGGAGATCTTCCAGACCCAGGGATCGAACTCAAGTCTCCCACATTGCAGGCAGATTCTTTGCCATCTGAGCCATCAGGGAAACTAACACCTTATTGTACATCTGCTTTAATTATTAAAGAAAAGGACACATTGATCAGAACTGAAGAATGTCCATGTTAAAAATAAAGATTAAATGCTCCCTTCTGGGGATGCCAATGCTGATCCTCCTTTGATGATAAGACTCTCTTCCTAGGTGCCACAGCCACACTGACCCTCTGCATACATGCTGATCTTTTTTCTTTTTTTGTGAATCCTTGAAAGAATGTTGGGCTTCCCTGGTGGCTCAGAGGATAAAGCATCTGCCTGCAATGCGGGAGACCCGGGTTTGATCCCTTGGTTGGGAAGATCCCCTGGAGAAGGCAATGGCAACCCACTCTGGTACTCTTGCCTGGAAAATCCCATGGACGGAGAAGCCTGGTAGGCTACAGTCCGTGGGGTCGCAAAGAGTCGGACATGACTGAGCGACTTCACTTTCACTTTGAAGGAATGTATCCTTGACTTGCTTGTTGTTCTTTGTTCTAACAAGATATGAAACGATGCTGAAACTCCTGCTTCTCCAGAGAAGTTATTGGAGAGTCTGTCTTCCAGATTATAGTCCTCAGTTTGCCTCAAATAAAGCTCTTTTCTGCTCCTATTAGAGATTGTTTATTGATTATTTTCATCAATGGAAATGCTTGAACTAAGAACAAATACAGCACAGTTGGACCTCTGCACCCGTGGGTTTTGCATCTTCCAATTAAACTAATCATGAATTGAAAATATTTTTAAAAATCTAGAAATTTCTGAAAAGCAAATCTTGAATTTGCCACACCCAGGCGACTATCTACATAGCACTTACATTGTTCTGACAACAACTTACATAGTATTTACATTGTATTTGGTATAAATAACCTAGAGATGACTTATATGTACATTTGTTATATGTAAATAATACACCAAGGTTTTTTTGGTACATAAGCCATACATTTATACAAATATTGTAAAATATATGCAAATATTTTATATAAGGACTTTGACACATCTACACAGTTTGGCACCCACCAAGGATCCTGGAAGTAATCTCCTGTAAATATCAAGGGACGATTATATCTAATTCTTCTGTCATTATCATGTAGCTTCTGCTCTAGTGAAATAAGAACCTTGGTAAAGCATAACTTTTGCTCTTTGTATATAATTTTAGACCAAATCTTATTAAACAAACATAAAAGGGAGCTTATTGTATCTGTATGTGTAAAAGGTATAGAAGGTTTTAAGACCTAGAGAAGATGAACCACAGCTTGTCATCACTATTGTTTTAATAATTCTAAAGGCTTTGATACAATTAAAAGGAAATAAATAGTAATTGTTTATTTTTGATTTTTTTAAAATATTATGCAACAGAACAACTTAAAGGAATGAACATTTCACAATTGAGACTTTAAAGCAAAATCCTTTTAAACCACATTGTCACCTATGGGTCTAATTAGCTATCTCAGAGTCACCATGTTACAAAATAAATTGGACTTTTGGGTAGTAATCAAGCTGAAAACTAATTTTGAAAAAATTATGGAACAATTCTATTTCTTGTGCAGTTATACTAATCTCTATATCTGGTTCTGTGTTCTATCACTTAACAATATACTTTGACAATTTTATAGACAAAAAAAGCAATACATATATCAGTGACAATAGTGTAAGTTTACATAAGACAACTGTTTAATGTCCAACACAGTCTAACCTTGTCTCGTTAACTTATCTCATGGTGTAATTCAGAAAATATTTAAGGCAATGTCTCCTAAAGTGCATTGGCACATATATTCTAAGTATTATCACAGTGTTATTTCATGAAAAGTCATCTAAATCAAAGTATACCCACTCAATAAAATTATAGTACATTTATAAAATAGCATTGCAGTATATTTTGAGACCATTCCATTTTTACTAGAGGTGTTTATTTACATATTTTCTCTATAGACCAAGAAAGTGACCATTGGTGATTCTATCAAGGTGTAGAATTAGATAAGAGTAATGCTCATCTTTTCTATGAATTTACAGAATAAATAAGGTGATTCTATTTTTTAATTCTTATTGGAGTATAACTGCTTTACAACTATAGGTCACCAGAGAGCATTGAGTTCCCTGTGCTAGATAGTAGGTTCTCATTAGTTATCTATATTATACATGGTAGTGTATATAGGTCAATCCCAATCTCCCAGTCCATCCCACTCCCCCTTTCCACCCATCTTGGGGTCCACAGGTTTGTTCTCTACATCTGTGTCTCTAGGTTTGATAATAGGTTTTGCAAGTAGGTTCATCTGGACCATTTTTCTAGATTCCACATATATGTATCAAAAAAAATGTGATTCTTACAAATGTAAGTCTGTTTAATTCCACAGCTTTCACTTAAATAAACTTCTCTCGATTTGTAAGATAGACAGTTTTGTCTTAATGTAGGTGTAGAAAGAGAAAACCTAAAACAGGAGAAATGGCATAGTCTTCGTGAAATTCTATAACAAGTAAATACCAGAGAGAATAAATATAAAACTTTCATTTTATGTATAAATACTTAAAACACAATGTACATATAATTGAATCAAATCGAATTTCTATCAGTAGCACAGATAACTAAGATTTTTACAAATTGAAAGTTTATTGATAGATTACAGAACTTTAAATATTTCATAAAAACTCACGTAAGGATGTAAGCGCCTGAGAGGATGGAGAGCAGGCTGATTATCATTGCTTATAGAAGTAGACAGACAATTTAAAAACAAAAGAGTGAAAAGCCTATGAATAACAGGTACCATCACATTTTTCTGGTGAGGACAATAAATATTTTTAGTGTCCATAGTGTTTAGGCAGATGGTGGGTAGAATGTAAAAATCCAGGGAGATTTTAAAGATATATTAATGACCTGGAAGTTGGGTCTTATAGAGCACTGTGGTTAGTGAGGAAGTAAGAAGATTTTAATCCATGGTTTGTGTTATGAGCTGAATTGTGTCCCATTAAAATGCATACATTGGGATCCTACCCTCCGTTACCCTAGAATATGAGTGTAGTTAAGGTCTTTCAAGAATTAATTCAGTTAAAAGACGTCATTAGGGTGGGCCCTAACCCAATATTGCTGCTGTCCTTACAAGAGGAAATTTGCTTATAAACAGGCATAGGGGGAAGACCACCTATAGACCCAAAGAGTCGACAGTCAAGGAGAAAGGCCTCCGAAGAAACCAAAGTGTCAGCACCTTGGCCTGGGACTTCTATCCACTGCAGTCAAGAAAATAAATTTCCGCTATTTAAGCTACTCCATCTGTAGTGCTTTGTTATGAGAGCCCCAGCAAACAGATGATGTGTAAGAAAAATTCTCAGGAGAGAACTTATTAAGGAACTGAGCTATATTATCTGCTTCTGGAGGCTATAATTCTGGACATGGCATTGGATTTAAGTTACTGTCTCTTTTCCCAATTCCCTAAATGTCCTTGAAATTGTGTCTCGGGCATCCTTTACTTCTATTATTTTGGGCAAATGCAGCAATTAAACCAAGGACAAAGAAGGCTGTACTATGTCAGACAGATACTTACATATCAGAAGGCAGAAGTGAATCATTTTCCCACAGCCAGTGCCTGCCAGTTTCATTATAGTAGACTCCAATCCAAAAGAAAGATTTTAAGGAGAAGAAATGCTGGTGATAAACAAATGCATGCAAATACAAAGTTCTCATTATTATCTTTTCATCAACTGCATGAGAGTCCTCAAAAAAAATTCAATACCGTGTTTACCTTTATTCAATTCATCCCATCCACAAACTCATTATTATATGCTATATTCCAAGACCAGTTTGAGATTTAGCTCATGATACAGCAAGAAACAACACAAATTCCCAGTTCTCATTGGAGACAAGGAAAATAAATAAATATGAGTAAAAATATAGTGTGGGTTTGGTGAATAAGGGAGTAAGATTTTTAAAAAAAGGCATCAAGGCCTATAAGCAAGACCTTTATAGATGTCTTGAAGATTAATTTTACCCCCAATGTCTAATTCCTGTCTCTTCAGGTGAAGAATGGAGAGAACATCCTCTATCAGAAGAATTCTTACAGTGGATGCTTTAACTCGATGCTGATGTCCATTGGCAGAGTGAGGGAAAGCTCTTCCAATCTCCTCGCATCCTGTTCTAGATTATGAGGCATTGCTCACACAATGCCATTAACTTTTGGACCACAAAGGCTATACTTTCTGGTTGTTGGACTATATACCAGGTTCTCTTTTCTCTGATTGGGATAGTTGTTGTAGTAACTATCTCCTTCAAAATTCATTCAATATGCATATTTTCTAAATGTCTTTTGTTGAGGGGGTTAGAATTCACCTGCGGAGAAGGCAATGGCACCCCACTCCAGTGCTCTTGCCTGGAAAATCCCATGGATGGAGGAGCCTGGTAGGCTGCAGTCCATGGGGTCGCTAAGAGTCGGACACGACTGAGCGACTTCACTTTCACTTTTCACTTTCATGCACTGGAAAAGGAAATGGCAACCTACTCCTGTGTTCCTGCCTGGAGAATCCCAGGGACGGGGGAGCCTGGTGGGCTGCCGTCTATGGAGTCACCCAGAGTCAGACACAAATGAAGTGACTTAGCAGCAGCAGCAGCAGCAGAATTCACCTGGGCTAGGCAGCTCCCCTGGAGAAGGGCATGGCAACCCACTCCAATATTCTTGCCTGGAGAATCCCATGGACAGAGAAGCCTGGTGGGTTACAGTCCATGGAGTCACAAAGAGTCGGACACGACTGAGCAACTACCATGTTCACATAATATAAAATGTACTTCTTTTTATTTTTTTCATTTATTTTTATTTGTTGGAGGCTAATTACTTTACATCACTGCAGTGGTTTTTGTCATACATTGAAATGAATCAGCCATGGATTTACATGTATTCCCCATCCCGGTCCCCCCTCCCACCTCCCTCTCCACCCCATCCCTCTGGGTCTTCCCAGTGCACCAGGCCCGAGCACTTGTCTCATGCATCCAGCCTGGGCTGGTGATCTGTTTCACCCTAGATAATATATATGTTTTGATGCTGTTCTCCCGAAACATCCCACCCTCGCCTTCTCCCACAGAGTCCAAAATTCTGTTCTGTACATCTATAAAACATACTATTTGAACTATATTTAACTGTACAGTTCATGATGGCAGTAAGTACATTCACATTGTTATGAAACTCTCAACCATCACCTGTCTCCAGACTTTTTCACCTTCCTAAACTAAAACTTTGTCCCCACCACACACTAACTCCCCATCGCCCCTCCCCAGCAATGCACTCCCCTGCCACTAGCATCTACCAGTGTGCTTTCTGACTGTGAGTTTGACTATTCTAGGTACCTTGTATAAGGGGAATCTAACAATACCTGTCTATACATGAAGGTCTTTATACCTATTATTTCAAAACTTCTCTCCCCTTTACATAAAAGCTAGATTCGGTGGCACATTTTGCATATGAAAATGTAAACAAAAGATAAACTAGTCATACCCTGAAGAGTATGTCTGAAATGGCTGAAGCCATTTGTCTAGTGCTGAGGTCAGGTAAATGCAATGACTCTCAGCTTAATCCACTCAATCAACTTCACATATTTCACATACCATTATGAGGCTCTGTTTCACAACTTACCATCTCCTCCTTGTTTATCTTGATGAGACTGGAATTTAGAGATGAACAGGCACTTTGACTCTCTCTCCAAGTTAGCTCTTCCTTGGAAAAGTAGTAACAGCTACATCTGAACCAAATCCAATTCTCTGGACAAGAATGACACTGAGGTCCAAGACACAGGTTCTCTATGATTGCATTGCGAAAAAATAATCACAAAGCCTGACTTTATTATTTCTTAAATACACCTTGTAAACAGAAGTACACTTTTGTCATTAGAGTAACATTTCATAAACACAAAAATTACTCATAATAAAATTATTAATTAGAATGAAAAATTTTCTTTTTCTCTCACTTCTGAGACATGTTGGACCCTTCATATATCATATGACACTGGTGACCTACAGTCTGTTCATGTTCTTATCTCCATATTTTGATACTACAGCATTTCAGGGCTAGAATGTCTTCACATTATATCTCCATTAGATTAATGTTTGTTAATATTTTGCCCCTGTAATATAAACTCTACTTCTCCAAAATTTGTTCTCGTTACAGGTATTTCTATTCCCCTACAAACATATTAAGTTTTACAACAATTTCTTAAAAATCCCCAGGAAACCCCCTGAAAACCTTACCCCTGTCTTCCTATATTTCAGTTAATTATACACAAACCTCAGTTTCACAAGACTGTAAGTTATTTGATGGCTGGAATTATGTCTTATATTTTCTATTATACACACTAGAGTAACTTGCCCAGAGAAATCTCCATGTGTGTGGATAGATAGTGATAATGTTAGTTACTTAATCATGTCTGACTCTTTGCGACCCCATGAACCCCATGACCCCATGAAGCCCGCCAGACTCCTTTGTCCATGGAATTCTTCAAGGCAAGAATACTGGAGTGGGTAGCCATTCACTTCTCCAGGGGATCTTCCCTACCCAGTGATAGAACCTGGGTCTCTGACCAGCACAATAATACTTTTAAATCAGTTTAAGAAATCAGTCTGTAAAACCTACCTTTCTGCTGGATTTTGAGAGGTGGTTTTTTGGAAGACGCTGCAAAAACAGTCAAATATCATGAGTAGATCTTATTTTAAATTGAAACATCAAAAATGAGATACTCAAAGACTATATTTCAGAAAAATAAACAGCAATTTTCAAGAAAATAAAAAAGGAGGAATTTTGGTAAGCTAATTATTCTCAGCCTGTTTTGGCTTATCATATTCTATGAAATTAGACAGTGTTCCTGAGGGGAAGACAATTTGGAAGTTTCTGTATTTACTTACAGTTTGCAGTAACAACAGCTACCACAATGGCCGTGGCCATTAGGAGAAGGCACAAGACACCCAGCATGCTAGAAATGAGTCTCCATGGAAGAGGCAAGACATCTCCTGAGAGGATTGAAAACACAAACAGAATCAAAATGAGATGAAGCAAGATGACTGGACAAATAAACACAGTGTTTAAGGAGCAGTTTACAAGTGTTCGGGCCTGCTGCACTGGGAAGACTCAGAGGGATTGGGTAGAGAGGGAGGTGGGAGGGGGGATCGGGATGGGGAATACATGTAAATCCATGGCTGATTCATGTCAATGTATGACAAAACCCACTACAATATTGTAAAGTAATTAGCCTCCAACTAATAAAAATAAATGAAAAAAAATAAAAAATAAATAAAGTGAAATCATCTCTTACCACAAAAAAAAAAAAAAGAACACATCAAATACATGTCAATTCTTGATTCTCACAATAGGCCTGCAAAATATTTTCAAACGATTTTAGATAATACTGAAATAGAAGTTTGAAAACAATCTCATTTTTTACATAGGCTTTTTGTCTAAGATAACACAATCAATTCATAGCAAAACAGAGCCCCTAATTCACTAATGCTGCCTCCAAAGCTTACCATCATTCTTCTCCCCCGCCCCGCCCCAGAAAGAAAAGAGAGATAAGTTGAGCAAGAAAACTGCAGAATGCCAATTGATTCATTTAGGTACTGAGCAGTTTTCCAACATGAAAAGATAAAAGAGGCTACTAGAGTAGGAAGTCAACAAATACCATTTGTTTATTCTTCTCTCACATATTAAGGTTCGTAGTGTTTCATGCAAGTATAGAACCAGTGATGGTGTTATGGAAAGAATAAGAAGTTAGGGACTTCTCTGATGTCCCAGTGGTTAAGACTTTGCCTCCTAATACAGGGGCTGTGGCTTTGAGCCCTGGTTGGGGAGTTAAGATCCCACATACCTCAGGTCCAAAAAGCCAAAACATAAAACAGATATAATATTATAACCAATTCAATAAAGACTTAAAAATGGTCCACATCAGAAAAAAAAAAAAAATCTTTAAGAAAAAAAAAAAAGCTGCCAGCATCCTCAACGGACCTGTACTTCACCAGTTGGAAGATCAGAAGCAATAAAATGAAGACTTATTTTTGTCGTTCAACTCAGGGACATTTAATAAGCAAGAAAATAATTTTTGAGTATCACCTTTATCTTTCATATCAACTTCTTTCCCCCCACTGAATTTCTTCCCCAATATTATTGTCACGCATCTCTTACAGTCTCTTCATTCGTTATCACCACCACGCGTTAATCACCCAACTTAGACCTAGTGATGGGTCAACAGAGTGATTGCACTGATGCCAACTGCTCATTTTCCATTTTATACACCTTGTGTACTGTTACAGATATCTGATGAAGGAAGTCAAACAGCTTGCTACTAATTCACATCAGGATCCCAAACTTCACCTGGATTCTCAGTGACACTTGACAATGATTTACCCCATCTATTTCATGCTCCAAATTTAAAAGAAATAACCTTTATGTTCTCCTTATGTAAATAGTTACATCAAAGATTACGGGGCAAAGTATACCACACTCTAGTCCAGAAATCAATGTCGAAAATATTTATTTCTCACACTATACAACTTCTGGCTTCCAATCAAGGTATCTAACTCAATCCTCTCAAACACCCACAGCTAGTCATTGTCCTTTGTTTACCATTGTTGTCTCAAGGGAATTACTTTCCAACGCTTTTCTATTCAAATTATATTCTTCCTCTAAAGTCTAAATAAACTCCCACTTTAGCAGTGAGATTTCTAAACTATCCAAGGTATCTTTTAAATTATTTACAGTATTTAACATTTGGCCTTTAGCGTTATCTGCGCTAAATTAACATTTACATTTTTGCTTGTACATTTTCTTTTTTAACTATAGAAACTATTGTATTTTTGAATCCCCCTAGTGCATAGCATGTCAGTATATAATTTTAGGCATTCTCTACATGTTTATGAATACTGTTTTAATGTAGCTTACCTTCATCATTGACATCTTCTGCTATATTTTTGAGCTGTCTTTTACAAGGCTTCTGGTGTTTCAGCTTCTTCTTGGTTAATGGCAATTCATTTGGATCCAATTTATGCTTAATATTTTTTGGTGTATGCCTCTGCTGAAAATCCTGGTTTAGAGTAGTAATACTATAAATTATGGGTTCTTCATCCATCTTTATATAGGAAAAAACTGTAAGGGATAAAGTGCTCAAATATCAGTATATCCTTCTATAATTTGGGAAGGTATATTATAATATAGAAAAATGAAACAATAATATAAAATCTGAGTTGTGGGGAATTCCCCAACAGTCCAGTGGTTAGGACTCTTTACTTGCACTGCTGAGGTCACGGGTTCAATCCCTGGTCAGGGAACTAAGATCCTGCAAGCCACATGACATGGCCAAAATAAAATAAAATGAAATAAAATCTGAGTTGATAAATAGATACATCTATTACACTTCCCAGAAGCATGTTCTCAACAGTTTGAAGCCCTGAGTACAGGAAAAAAATGTCACCAAGAACATAAAAGTAAAGGAAATAGAACCCTACAAAAGTTAAGCTCTCTTTAACCAATTCTTACATAGAAAGCAATCATTGCTTTTAGTACAGAATTTAAAAATTCTAGGTCTGCAATGAAGTCACCCCAAAATTCCAGCCTATTTCTAACATAGTTGCAGTTTGCCTCATGAAACTGAATAGTAAAAGACAGAGTTGGTGTTCTGCTATTATTAGAAATTGAAATATGTTTATTATCTGTGATTCTCGGAGGCAGTGCACAACTTAACGATTAAAGCACAAAGTTAACCATTTCACTTTTCCTAAGTGACTCACAACATGACTTATGAACAATATCTTCTGTATTATTTTGTAACTGAAATAAGACACCCCATAAGTGGACTTAATACCTTGTTTCTATGTTTTATATAAATTCTCTTTATTGTTAAAAAATAAACAAAATAGGTTAAGTATCCAAATAGCTAAACTTCAAAAGTGTGAAGAATTTTGTTGTAAACATGGGCTATCAGATTCAGTGTGGGCAAAACACTAAACAGGATGAAGTCCCTTATTTGTCAGGGTTCTAAATACCTTCAGTTTAAACTTCTCAGAGAAACTTTATTTAAAAAAGATTACTGGACATACATTAAAGCCTTGAAAAGCACATAGTCAAATAAAGCAAAATGCAATATGTTGAAGCAAAAAAATATTATACTTAAAGTTTAAATTTATTTAAAATGTTTAAAACTAGAAACTGCACAAAGAAGAACTGTCTAGTGGTGACATCTTTCAGGAATTAGAGGAGGAGGGATTACAAAAGAGCCAGAAACAGTAAAACATACCTGAAATGAGGAGGGAATTCCTTGTGCTATGAATTAGTTTGTGTAAGTCTGAGGAAGCAGGACCTGGTAAGTTGGCACAGAATCAGAAGCTGTGCCTCAGTAGAAAAACTACTTGTTGTACAAGGTTTCATAATAACCAACAGGAAGCTTTATTCTTTTTTTTTTCTGCATTTGTCCTTAGCACCCACAATATGGGTGATACAATCTTATTTCTTGTAACTTAAGCCAAAGTTACAAGAAAATATTACATGCACTTTATTCTCAGCCATACTAAATAATAATTTTTGTGAACTGAAAAGAAAACATTGCTCCTCTATATTATTTACTACACTGCATTATAATTGATGTTTGTGTATCAGTCATTCCACTGGACTGAAGTCCTGAGAAATACCATATATTTTGATAATTTTACCTCTAGGTAATTTTATGCTTATGAAACCATAGTAGACATAAAATTCATCTATAGTGGATAAAGAAATTCCTTGCAATTTCTTCATTCAGGCTACATAGACGACTTTGTACTGACATCTTTCCTATCAGAGATTTCTCTTCACACATTCACACATTCAGAGAAATTTAAAAAGGTAGGAACAATGTGTAAGTTAGGGGAGAAAATGACCTTTAAATAAATCTCAAGGTAATCACAATATTGGTGCTCTCAATGACACTATGATAATAAAATGAAGTTTATTATATCAAAAAGTATCACAAAATCCTAAACTAAACAAAGGGAGAGTGAGCTATTTTTTAAGTCAATATATGCTCTAGGATTCTTGCCTGAAGAATCCCATGGACAGAGGAGCCTGGCAGGCTATAGTCCACGGGCTCACATAGAGTCGGACACGACCTAGGGTCTATTCCACCACCACCACCGTGCTCCTTAATGGACAGAACACGGGGAAAGAAAAACACTAGGAAATAAGGCACGTCATGGAAGCATGCCAAAATTCCTCAAACTCCTCTGCTTATGACAAAATTGACAATATACCCCAAAAGTTATGTTTTGGCTCAGTGAAGATGGGTAGATAGTATGCAGTCAAGTGCCATATACAGCAAGTAATGATTAAATAATCAACACACATGTAATATGTGCATGCCTGTTTACAAAGCTAAATTTAACCAGAAAGCTACAAAATGACTAGGGTAAATTACATTAAAAAAATACTCCCTGTATGCTTATCTCTCTGAAGTGAGACAAGCCTTTTTTAGGCTATTAGTTCTTTTTTTTAAATTTTATTTACTTATTTATTTTAGGCTGCAGTGGATCTTTGTTTCTGCACACAGGTTTTCTCTAGTTGTGGTGAGTGGGGGCTAGCTACTCTTGCTTGTGGTGCCCAGGCCTCTTATTGCGGTGGCATCTTGTTGCTGTGTACAGGCTCTAGGGTTAACCAGGCTTTACTAGCTATGGCTCGTGGGCTCTAGAGCTCAGGCTCAGTAGTTGTGGCCAATGGGCTTAGTTTCTCCCATGTATGTGGGGTCATCCCAGACAAGGGATCGAACCCGTGTCCCCTGAATTGACAGATGGATTCTTAACCAATGGACCAACAGGGAAGCCCTGTTACCAGTCTTTTCCCCATGCTCAGCCACTGGGCCAGGATTCAGTATCTAATCTCCCGATACTAAAGAAATATCTTTAGGTCTTTGGGGTCTTTCTTATTAAACTATTAAGAAATCAGTTGAGTACCTAGCCACAACAAAAACCAGCATAAGGTAACAGGAAAAACTTTGGTGAACATCAGGCTTCCCAGTCAAGACTTGCAGAATTCCTGAGCTTCTAGAACAATTTAGTAATAATTAAGTGACTGCCCAAGAAAAGTGGAGGATGGGGGGTGCAGTGGGAGGGAAATCCAAGAGGGAGGGCATATGTGTGTGCATATAGCCAAAGAATTGATCCTTTTGAACTGTGGTGTTGGAGAAGACACTTGACAGTCCCTTGGACTGCAAGGAGAGCCAACCAGTCAATTCTAAAGGAAATCAGTCTTGAATATTCATTGGAAGGACTGGATGCTGAAGCTGAAACTCCAATACTTTGGCCACCTGATGTGAAGAACTGACTCATTGGAAAAGACCCTGATGCTGGGAAAGATTGAAGGCAGGAGGAGAAGGGGACGACAGAGAATGAGTTGGTTGGATGGCATCACTGACTCAATGGACATGAGTTTGAGAAAGCTCTGGGAGTTGGTGATGGACAGGGAAGCCTGGAGTGCTGCAGTCCATGGGGTTGCAAAGAGTCAGACACAACTGAGCAACTGAACTGAAATGAACTGATAGCTGATTTACTTTATTGTACAGCAGAACTAACACAACATTGTGAAGCAATTATCCTCTAACAAAAAAATTAAAATAATTGTAAATTTTTTAAAAAGCTTTTAAAGTCTGACTGAGTAGATGGATGAGCTGGAAAAATCACAGGTCAGAGACGGCAAACACCATCTTCAACCTAGGTTGTTGTCCTTCTTCAGATCAGAGTCACACAAGCTTTTTTTTTTTTTTAGAGTCACACAATCCTAATGAAAGAAAGGTCACAGTAACCATAGGTTAAGGTTGAAACATCATGCTAATTTAGACCCTAAATGGGCTGGCTTTGTCTCATTTCACCAAATTTCAATTCATCACTTTGTTAAATTAATGTTGTATGTTCAATTATTTAGGTTACATGGTTCAGGTTCTGTGATATGTGTTCCACATATATAAATTTTTAAGTTAGTGATGAACTTTTTTTCTTATATATCTTAATAGGTGTATCTATCACATTACTTTCTTCAGTTCAGTGGCTCAGTCATGTCCAACTCTTTTCGACCCCATGAATCGCAGCACGCCAGGCCTCCCTGTCCATCACCAACTCCTGGAGTCCACCAAACTCATGTCCAGTCGGTGATGCCATCCAGCCATCTCATCCTCTGTCATCCCCTTCTCCTCCTGCCCCCAATCCCTCCCAGCATCAGGGTCTTTTCCAATGAGTCAACTCTTCTCATGAGGTGGCTAAAGTACTGGAGTTTCAGCTTCAGCATCAAGTCCTTCCAATGAACACCCAGGACTGATATCCTTCAGGATGGACTGGTTGGATCTCCTTGCAGTCCAAAGGACTCTCAAGAGTCTTCTCCAACACCATAGTTCAAAAGCATCAATTCTTCGGCACTCAGCTTTCTTCACAGTCCAACTCCACATCCATACATGACCACTGGAAAAACCATAGGCTTGACCAGAGAGACCCTTGGTGGCAAAGTAATGTCTCTGCTTTTTAATATGCTATCTAGCTTGGTCATAACTTTCCTTCCAAGGAGTAAGCGTCTTTTAATTTCACGGCTGCAGTCACCATCTGCAGTGATTTTGGAGCCCAAAAAAATAAAGTCTGACACTGTTTCCACTGTCTCCCCATCTATTTCCCATGAGGTGATGGGACCAGATGCCATGATCTTAGTTTTCTGAACGTTGAGCTTTAAGCCAACTTTTTCACTCTTCGCTTTCACTTTCATCAGGAGGCTTTTTAGTTCCTCTTCACTTTCTGCCATAAGGGTGGTGTCATCTGCATATCTGAGGTTATTGGTATTTCTCCCAGTAATCTTGATTCCAGCTTGTGCTTCTTCCAGCCCAGCGTTTCTCATGATGTACTCTGCATAGAAGTTAAATAAGCAGGGTGACAATATACAGCCTTGAAATAAGATCATGTGCTTATTTCAAGTTCAAGTCCTGAACTTCTGAAAGTTCAAGAGTTTGAACTTTTACTACTTGCTTCTCTTTATTTATATATAGAAAATTTAAAGGAGAGAGGCTCCCTCTAAAGAGATACTGTTATTCATGTACTAGTTACTGAGCGCCTAATGGTATACGACCTG